GGGTTATATTAGGGTTATACTAGGGGTTATATTGGGGTCATATTTTGGGTCAATCCCCCACCCAGTAATGGGTACCACAAGGGACTACTGTAGGTATATTAGGGTCCTATTGATTCCTTAGTAAGGAGCTATTACTATGGGGGGGATTGACTCAAGTTAAATTGGGTTTATATTAGGGGTTATATTGGGGTTATATCAGGGTTATATTAGGGTTATATTTGGGTTATATTGGGGTGATATTAGGGTTATATTGGGGTTATATCAGGGTTATATTAGGGTTATATTAGGGCTCTATTGGGGTTATATTGGGGTTGGTCCCAGGTTTCAGGACTGGAATTCTGGGCTCAGGGATGGGTGGACCCCTCGGCTCATGTCTGGAATAATTCAATGGTATCTCTGATAGCTAAGATATCCCCTGAATCTGTCTAGTGATGACCCGAGGCCACCTATACTGCGGGATGTTTCGGTGTAAGGATATTTCTGCAAGATAGCTTACCATGATATGTCGCGTGTGCTACTACTTACTGGTCCACAGGCAGTTTCAGTGGTTCTTGGCAGAGAAGAAACTTGTCTGAGTTGAGCTTGAAGTAGGGGCTTGGAATTGGGGCCTGGAGGTGCAGCTGTAATTACCTGCAACAAGGCGAGTCACCTCGATCTGAACTGAACTCCTCAGGCACTGTAATGCTTGAATTGGACTGGGCTGTCTTGCTGCCCCTTCGAGGGTTTGGGGGTTCTGGAATTTCTCGAGGACCTGCTGTAGCATTTGTGACAGCTTTGTTTTGTAGGAGGAAAGCCAGCGGAAGGTCTCTTCAAAGCTTCGTTGCGACTTGCGACTTTGTTCGAGGTTCAACGCCGTGACAAGGGTTCGTCTATGGTGACACAACTGCGAAATGGGGTTTCTTGCTGTGAGAACAGGGACCGAGTAAGCGTCAAGAACACCCAAAAAGCATAAGTAAGGATGCGGCCATGGGGATACGGAGCTGCTGTGCCCAACCCACACTGCACAAGAGGAATAATGTCCACTTTGAGGTTCATCTCTGTGTTGTTGGATACTCTGTATGTTGTCTTTTCAGGTACCCGAAGTCACTCATAGCATCACTGACAATCCTACACCTCCGTACTGATGCCTGGGCTAAGCTTTCAACGCCTGACCCTAAGCCTTAATCCCTTAACATCGCCAGCCCTCGAAACTGTTGCAGAGGTTGGTGTCCTAGCGCGCATGCTGTGGAGGTCATGGTCCAGGCTGGTGCTCAGTTCTGGTTGTTAAGGGCCAGCGTCACGGTTTCGTCTTGGTGTCTAGAGAGTCTAGGTACAAGGTTAAGTAAGGTCTCAGGGTTCAGTCTACACTCAGGAATGTAAATCCTTCATGCTAACTATTCAGTAGATAAGAGCATTAGCAGGTAGGGATTAGCGCCTCAAGAGAGGACTTCACAGATTGTTGCCCACGGGGTTCGTAGGTCGTGAGGCCATGTGCATGGCACTGGGTTCAGATTTGATGGCTGAAAGCACATCTTTCCTTCGACATGGAGGCAGGGGGTAGAGGACTTGGTGACTTTGTGTTATGAATTGCTAGAATACCAGTCTGCCTTCAGAAGTCCTTGTACATCCTGAATTTAACTGTGTACATGAGTTTGCATCGTGTTAGGGTCAGGGTTGCAGCTTTGTGGGGAGGATTGCCTTCCAAGCTGACCATGAGCATACCTACCTGAGCAGGCTTCTAGGTTTTGTTCAGCAAGGAACGGACTGACCCCCTCCACAAAGCAGCTTGTCCAACAACGGGGGGAATGTAGCGCAGAAGACCTGCTTGGTTTAGGCTGCTAAGATATTTAGTCTACGCAGATTTCCAATACAAAGGCTTCTCATTATACTCCGGACATTGCTGTACCAGACAGACAGATGAACATCGAAGAGGATTTGGCCGAAACGTCGCCCCATTGATGGAGACTTTGGCTCCGGACATCCAGATGTAGAACCACTTCGGACTCAGGTACCCCCAAGTTGCGCGATGGTGACAGTACCTGTACCTCCCCCATGGAGCTTTCACGTTCAGAATCCCGAAGTCTTAAGCTTCGGAATGCGCTCTACAGGAGCCTGAAGAACCACCAGTATTTTTCGTTTTTCTTCCTTAGCTAGCTGCTAAAGGGCTGCGACCAGAACCCTATTTCGAGCTCTTCAGGCCACCGATTGTGTTGCATCCTGTGATTGTGACTGAGTAGCTGGCCCTGACATTGGCAGGCACGGGCAGACGTCAATCGTGTCTGTGGCCCTCCTTTTAGTCGCTTGACTGCGTTTAGCTCCTTACTCCGCAGCGTACAAGGGGTGAAAGAATCCCCAGAACATACGAGTTTTCTCTCGACGTAAAGAATTATGGGGCTGGTTTCGGAGACCTCTTGTGCGGGTCGCTCCAGAAACTTTGTGGTGAGCAGCGCCCGGTGCCTCCCGCACTCAAGCCATGCAGGGAAAGTTCTTGAGATTGGGGGGTAAGGGTTGACAGCGCGGGTTCAAGGGGCAGCAAGGAAATTGTGCTACGTGCTGTCGATAACCATGATACTCCGTTCCTGCCAAACTTAGTGCTCGGTTGTTTTCGGGATCAAAAGATTTAAGCTGGCTTCCGCACAATTGTTGAGGAGTGGTTTAAGTGATGCAGGGGACTTGTTACCCTTTTGTTACCCATAGGAATCGTATGACCGTCATGAATCTCCAGCATCAGCCGTCTTGTGCCAACACCGTCAATTTCCCAGACAAATTGCATGACAATGCCACCTGCATTTTTCTTGAACCCTAATACTTCAAACCGTAAAGCCTGCAAATCCCCCCAAAACAGACTGGACCTATCCAAAGCCCCGGGACTCCGCAGGAATAACGCCTCTGCAGACTGCCGCAATGACCCACCAGAACAAGGAGGCCTGTGGTCCTTGGGTGCAGGGATGTTGGCAGGGGGGTGGGGCGCCAGCATTTGGGAATATGTGCGCACTTCCCGTCCCTAGCAAGCCTTGTATCAAGCTTTGATAGACCCACGGACATACCTCTACCCTACCCCAAACAAAGGCGATCAACTCTTGATCAAAAAGTTCACGGTCTGGCTTCAATCCGGGAACTCAACATGACAATTGGGAGGTTCTCTAAATGGAGGGTTGTCGAGCCACAGCGGATATCCTGTTTGTTGCATGACAAGATTACGTGGCACCCATCGATTTAGAAATTGTGTAGGGACTGCAATCAGAAACTCCCGTATGCCGCCCTCTCCTTTCAATCTGGCATGGCGAATACCTGCATGCAGAACCCAAGCCGTCATCCTTGGACTGATAGCACGTCGGGCCCGAATTTTGAACTCAAAAGCTTAAATCGTTGTGTCTACATGACTCGGAAATTCCTTGTTAGCCTCCATGAACATGGACGCTACCCCAAGCCCCTATTCCCTATCATCCATCTATCATGGTTTGCATTCGGAAGATGCCCTCGGGCACCGAATCTGAAGCCGAATCGCCTTTCTTGACGAACAAGATAGCATGCGCGGAGCCACAAACCATAAAGCCTAAACCCAGCAAACTCAGAACCTCAAGCAGCTGGGTCACGGCTCCTAAGCTCAAAGCCCTTGGAAGAGACGAGGTCTTTGCACGGCTCCTGGAAAAGAAGGCTCAGTTTTAGGTTTGAGGGCCTGGGGTTTAGAGTAGGGTATGCGGGGTTTGTGTGGACGGAATGACAGGAGTGTAGCTACTGGATATCTGGTGTCAGGTGTCAGGCTTTTGCTCGCTAAGTTTGAAAGGTAGGTCAGGTGTTTTTCGCCCCACTCTAGCGGACATGATCGTGGATTCTATTTTATGTACGATGGAAGCTTAAGGACCACTGCTAGGCATGAGACAGCAATCAGGTGGGAATTTTTCTGAATCCCGTCCTAAAGGACCCCCGGTGGAAATCTCGTACTTCCGATTGAATCCCCACACATCCCCAGGCCCCTCTCTTGGGAATCACCAGGAGTCGGAGACTTCGAAAGCAACAGGGCAGGGTGAGCTTTAGAGGTTTGCATTCGATGTAGGACGAGGTGCAGGGTTTGAGGTTTTGTTGAGGTGGGTTCTAGTGAGGCTCAGTGATTGGCATGGATTGGGCAAGAGGCAAGTTGCTGACAAGGTTTGACTCGCATTCCGGATATCCATACAAGAGAAAAAGCTCATCTCTAGCTGCCAATATATGAAGTCCCTCATGCCATAGATACTTACGTTTCTCCCCCCAGGAATGTTTTTTAGGAGGACCTCGTTTGTTGCGCTCTTCTCTGCTTGGCAGGCCCACGGGGAGCAAGCCCAAGATCCCAAACTCTGCACCCCAAGCCCTATCTCCTCAACCCTAAGCCTCCTAACAGCAAAATCCCTACCTCTTGGTAGGCCGACGTGCACCTGCTAGGGCAGGGGCTTCGGTCACCAATCCTGTCGATGTTGGCTACATTTTGTCATTTGGGCTACCCTGATGCTCGGCGCTGTTGTGCAGGGTGTCGGTGGCTTGGGGCTTAGGCTTTAATGGATTTGCAGTCCAGTTATGTATGGAGGTATTTGGAAGGTAGATCGGAATATGTAAGCCTTATAGGGTTTTGGGGCTTAAGGTGTCCAGGGTTGTGATCTAGGCTTGCAGGGGTTGAGGGTCTGGCTTTGGGTGTTCAACAGTTTTCCTGGTGTTTCGTGGGGAGGGGAGCTGTGGGTCCCGATAGTAGTCCTCTGGCCCCCTACAACTTCCCTACTTCTCTCATTCCATCCAAGCCACCCTATCCTTAAACCCCAAACCCTAACTACTTCTGATGATGGTGTTCCTTTTCGTTTTTCTGTTTCTTCATGGACCATTGCGCTGATAATAACAGAGATCCTTTTGGCTATCTGCCCATTGCACGCCTTTGGGATTCTACGGTTCCTTCGTTGCTGTAGCCAGCCCCTCCCCTCAACATTCAACACCCATGACCCGCCTGAGGCTAAAGTTGCCATTCAGTAGCACTAACCATCTCGAGGGATGTACGCTATCTTAATATGGGAGCTTCCCAGACTGACCCCAGAGCTCCCTTGCAACGGCTCATGTCTCCCCGAATTTCCTTAGGGTACCCCTATGTCGAGAACCGCCCCAACTCCTGGCCCAGTGATTCGTTCAGTAGTCGTATGCCCCTGCGAGGTTAACACGCTCTGGGATTCATGGTGTGTTCATGTGTTGCCAAATAGGAGCCTGAGTACTCACCATACGAAGTTCCCTGCCACTGCACCGTGTAGTTACAGAGCCCTGCGAACCTGGGACAGCCGCGTGCGTTAATAAAGCACACCGCACCCCAAGCCTCGTTCAAATTCTTCTGGCCCCTTTAAAGGCAGAACATGAACGCAAAGCTTCTTGGTCGTGTGTTGGTAGTCAGTGAGACAGCAAACCTAGCCACATGCCTTACGCACAGCCCCGAACTCCACGACCATAGCATGATCAACATGTCTGGTCCCCTCCCCTAGTAACAACCCCCACAACAGACCTCTCAGGTATGACTATACATTCGGGGACTACATACATAAATATGTACATATATGTATACATATATATATATATCTATGTATGTATATGTGTGTCTGTAGTTAGTGGGGGCGGTCCTTGAGCCTGGACGCCTGAACACAACCGGAACCCGGCCTGCATAAACCGGCGGCCTTATGTAGATACGAGGCAGGGTGTTAATTGTGGTTTTGTGGCTGTCCTGTTTTGGGCGTTGATGTGGGAACATCGCAAAACACACAAGCCCTGGCCACAAACCTGGAACCTAAGCGGGCCACAGTCACCCTCAAGTAGATAGGGACCTGCGTCACCTGCAGGTTGGGAAGGACAAAGACCATTCCATTTGTTTCCCCTGCTTGAGTTTTAGGCAGAAAATGGATGTTAAAATTGAGCTCCAAGGCAAAAACAGCAACTCCAAATCCTGAACCCTAAGGAGCGTTAAGCCTGAAGCCCTGCAACCAACTCCTCATCCTAAATCTTCACCAGGCGCCCTACAACCTAATCCTGAGCCCGCAGGCGCAGCAGAATCCTACACCTGCCTTCTAAATCTCACAACCTCTGATGGCCTACAAGTTCATCCTTTCCCAGGCCCAAAACTTCACAATCTTGGCCCGAACGAACTAGAATCCTCTCATCTTTGAACCCTACACCCTAAAACCCTGCCCTCCAAATCCCAAATCAAAACTTTTTTCTCTAGAGCCCTGCGCCCAAAATCCCAACAATAACTGCAGGATCGGTTGGAAGTTGCGAAGCTGCTTGTGGAAGCTGGTGCAGATGCTGGGAGAAATGAGTGGGCGTTTAGAACTTTCGGGCTTAGACGTTGGAGCTTTAGGTTTCTTAGGGCCTGGGAAGCACATAAACACAAGGATCCTACATTGAGGGCATCAGGTCTCGTGCAGGGAGCGCATAGCAGCCCCTAAATCGTGCAGGAAGCGCATAGCAGCCCCTAAATCGTGCAGGGAGCGCATAGCAGCCCTTAAATTGTGCAGGGAGCGCATAGCAGGCCCTAAATCGTGCAGGGAGCGCAAAGCAGCCCCTAAATCGTGCAGGGATGCATAGCAGCCCCTAGATCGTGCAGGGAGCACGTAGCAGCCCCCAAATCGTGCAGGGAGCGCATAGCAGCCCCTAAATCGTGCAGGGAACGCATAGCAGCCCCT